TTTAAAGCCTGTCCAATCTACAGCGCCAGTAAGATTTTACCTGCTCCTCCTTTTATTTCCACCAACATCCAGCCAAAGGATGATGGAAAGTAATGAGGAGCTGTCAACAAAATGAACCAGACAGGTGATTGTAACTAAGTCAAACTCAGCTAATGTTGTTTTCACATATTTAAAGGGAATGAAAGAAAGATGTTTTCATCTGTACTTAAATGTGGGGTAGATAATTTTGAGAAACCAGCTCGAGTGCGCTAGAATTTGAAAATACACAACCGGAAAAAATCTGCCACTTCCTTACAGAGCCACTCCTCCAACACACACGTGCGCGCACATGACCAATGAGGGCACGAGATAAGTGTGTGCACAGATGGAAGGCTGACAGGCAGGTAGGCCATCCAGTTATTTTAGCCGGGCCGGCTAAAATGATTGGTCGTGCTTTTTACAGTACTACTGCTTCCAGATGACATTTTTTTATGGATTTTTTGTCAAAGCTCTTAAGATATTCATTGCTATCGGGGTGTTAAGAGCATTCCATGGAATATAACAAAAAGTGTATCTCGAGCCGGTTTCTCAAACTTACCTACCCCACCTTTAATGGTCAATTTGTTTTGATTGTTTTCCTTGTTTGGATTGATTAAATATGGGTAGGAAGTAGCTAATAATTGTCTGTTTTCTACATGTATAAAGGCATTTAGAGGAAATAAGTTGCTGTAATTGATTGTCAGTTTCTTTTAATTGTTCGGATTCTAGTTTTGATTGATAAGACATTAGATATTGAATTTGGTTGGGTATGAGTAAATTGATTAATCTCAGAGAGGGCAGTATTTACTCCGTATATCAGAATAGAGATTAACATCGTTACACTAATGATGCTATGCAATGATTTAGTTGGAAAGTTTGGAAATTCTGTCAGTCAGGTGGGACACATTTTATTTGCACAAAACATTTTTACACAAATAAATGTCAAATCAACAACTTACTTTGTCTGGGTGTGCTACACTCAATGCCGGCGTTTTGTCTTGAAGTAAAGCACATGGAAATACTTGACTGGTTTTCAAATGGAAACAAAATGTGAACTATAACTTACTGTAAACATAGGATACAATGGTAAGTCGTCAAGAGGCTAAACTTGACTCATTGCCATTATTATGAGAGTGCTCTGATACTTGTTTGATTCTGAAATTGTATATATTTATATAAATGTGTGTTCCCTTGTGGTTTCAGGATGGCTTACTTACATCTTTAAGGTTTCCCTTCTGTACGGTGACTCACTGCCACCAGAGGGCAGTGTCAGCTAAAGCTTTTGCTTTCAAAAACAGAATCTCTAACTTTTGAGTTGATCAGTAAAGTTTTCCTTTTCAGAAATAGAAACATTACACATTTATATTCGGAAAACAGTTTTTTCATGCTGGATGGTAAATGGCAGATATTTAGTGTTGGTTAATTAGTTAATGATTTTTCGTCTGAAAAATGATTATGGGGGTCTGCACTTGTTAGCAAGATTGAGTGATTTAGGGAGCATAACTGATCTATTGAGTCATGTCAAGTTTCACTGTAGTGGCTCTGAGTACTTACTTAGAAAATGCATACAATTCATAAAAAGGCATACCAACCAAAAAATACTTTGGATGGGGTGGACAGCTGCAGGACTTTAGTTCAGGCCTTGTCGAAGGCAGACCTTGCATATGATGCATGAAAGAGGCCTGCTGGGTTAGTGGGGAGGCTCAGGGTACTCTGTATGATCTAGTTTGAAAACGAATATTATTTTTGATGTAATACTTATTGACTCCTTAAGTTTCTAAAACCTACAGTATTGTTGAAAAATAAATGTAGAAAAAGATAATTGTATGTATTTTATATTGGCTCAGGTCCTTGAAAGACAATACAGATGGAGTTACGTTTTTGTCAAACCATTCACACTTCTCATACTTTCATTCTTCAGGTGTCCATGTGAGCTGTCTCTAAAGTTAAAATAAGAACTGATGGACAATCAGTGGAAAATTAGCTCTGTAAAAATGTCTTGAATTTCCATCGTTGACTTCTTAAACCTCTGCAGTTATAGATTTAGATCAGAGTCTCTGCACTTTCTGCTGATGTCAAGTGGAAAACACAATCTATCTTAACCACACACTTTCGGTTAAACAGCACTGCGGTGTGAGATGATTAATACACTCTCGTTTCCACCTAAAATCTCTTGTAATTGAATATTTATGTATCCACATTTGGCCGTTAATAACCATGCTTGCAACCCTATATTTATTTATTTTAAATGTTTGCTTGTAAGGGACAATGTAACCTTCAATAAGATGTTAACATACATAAAGTGACATAAACATCATGTAAACATAGGCTAGATAAATACATTTTAAAAGTCACCTATTATGCAAAATCCACTTTTCATGTCTGTTATACATAAACATGTGTCCACTCTCCTCTGTCTAAAGAGATTCTGAAAGTTTCAGTACAAAATATTTGCTCACTTTCTTTCCTAATCCATTTATATAAAAACCTGTCTGAAAATGACCTGATCAGATTTTGGTCACTTTATGATTTGATAATGATTTTTTGGCTAATAACCAACCAAGGTAACACCCCCCACCTTATCACCTGAGTGGCACTTTATTCTCATCTAAAGCAGGGGTGTCAAACTCAAGGCACGGGGGCCAAATCCGGCCCGTGATTTCATTTTCTGTGGACCCACAAGAGCTCGCAAAGAATATTATATGTTTATTATACGGTTACATGATTTACAGAAGCACGTTGCCCACATGTCCCACAATGCATCTCAAACTAGACTTTTTTCTCAGAATTGGACTTTTCTTCTTCTAAATATGTCTTTTTTCTTAGAATGTACCCTTTTCTCAGAACTATTTTTTAATGTCACTTCTTTTTTTTATGTCGCTTCTTCTTTTTTTTATTTCACTTCCTTTTTTTTACGTCACTTCTCTTTTTTATTTTTTGACTTTTTTTCAGAATTTGGCTTTTCTTTTTAAATAATTTTGTGACATTCTCACTGAAGAGACTTGCACATTATTTGCCCCAGACTTCTGCTTTCAGACGTAGTTAATTATGAAGTTATTACCCTGTGTGATAATAATCCAATGCAGAGGTAATAATGTAATATCATACATTATTTTATATATATATTTATATATGTATTTTTAAATAGTTTTAAAGTTACAACCGGCCCTTTGAGTGCAGCCATAATGCTGATGTGGCCCGCGATTAAATTGAGTTTGACACCCCTGATCTAAAGTAACAGACAGAGGTTCAGCAATTTTGAAACAGGGCTGAAACAGAGGGGATTATGGGATGCTACAATGCATGATCTGTTTGGTATTTGGAGCCAAACACTTCAGAGACATGTTTTGTATATCTGAGACCTAATATATTGATGAAAAACAGTATAATAGGGGACTCAAACCAGACACAGGTGAGGTAACAACACAAGACACACATGCAGGCAAAGGCACAGGAGGTACCGAGGTCTAAACGGAAGCTCAGAGGGGATAGAGCCTTTTCCGCTGCCGGTCCCAAACTGTGGAATGGCCTCCCATTGACCATTAGACAAGCCCCTTCACTGTCCATTTTTAAAACTCGCCTAAAAACCCATTTTTATTCCTTGGCTTTTAACCCAGCATGAGACTCTGTTTCTGTTTGTTTTTATATGCTTCATTGGTTTTGTTGTTTTTATATTGTTATTTATTGTTGTTTTGTTTTTGTTTTTTATGGCGTGTACAGCACTTTGTTTCAGCTCCGGCTGTTTTGAAAAGGGCTTTATAAATAAAGTTGAGTTGAGTTGAGTTGAGGAATCATTTTATTCAGGACTCCACCAACATAAAGTAAGAACATTATTTGCACACAAAGAATACAGTTTATTTCTGTATTTTGACATTCACTGCTGCATTTCAATTTAATGTACAAAACTCACACCTGACAAGACGAGAAACTGATTAACATTGTAGATTCAAAATGCATATTTGCTATTTTACCAACAAGGTTTTTAGAGCTGAGAATGATATCCGTCCGGGTTTGTCGGCCATTTTTGCCATCTATTTAAAAAACACATCAATCAGTTTGGCCTATCTGCCACATGTGAACAATGTGGCGCTGAGAACATAAATCGAAACTTTGTCATATAAATCTATCAAAAAATCAAAAAGCACCTGCCAATAGAGAACTTTGAAGAGCACGCAGTGGAACGTAGCAGTGAGATAATGTGGTGTGTGTGTTAAACTGGGGTAAGAGCGACAAACTGTCACACCATACAGTACGTAGACAATCTCATATTTTATTTTTAAAATAAGTGTCCGATATCTTAAAGACTTAGCGAATGATCCATCCATCTTCTCCCGCTTATCCGTGGTCGGTTAGCGAATGATAAATATTATAATATTTTGTTGGTCTTTTAAAAATCTGGACACAATGCTAACCACTTTAATTTGTATTGAAGTTAAATGGATAGGACTGGACTTATTCTATATTTTTTTGTTCATCATCAAAAGACAAAACCCATCAGTCCCTTTGCTTTCCCTTCTCTTTTTGTGGTACTCAGCATCAAGCCCATTTGACTGAACACTATGTTTCATTAAAATATATAATTAAAGTATTTGGTAATAACCTAAGCAGATTGGCAATATAGTTTAAGGGAAATGTTACTCAAGCAGAAATAATACACTTTTGCTGCTCCAGTGAGTATTTGAAAGAGCAGGGAAATGTTTGAGGGAATTCAAAATAAACCATGTTCATCACAAAAACTATAACGGACTGTAACAATAGAGGTCTATGTCACAGAGAAAAAAGAAATACCAGACATTGACTACCCTGGAAATATGTTATAATAGGATCTGAAAATGTTGTTTTATCTTCTATTATGACTTTTCTTTATCACAGTCCCACAAGACTTTCCCTTTAAGAGTTTCTGTGACAGAAGACAGTGGGGAAAAAAAGACTAACATAACTAAAAGGTTTGTCTCTGTAACATAATGTGTTCTTGGTTGTGGTTTGTTGCAACGGCTATGAACATTTGAATCTTACGCCCACCAAAAACAAAAGGGACACCTCAATACTCACAACCCAAGAGACTCTTTCCCTCATGACCTGTTTTGCTTGTAAATTATGACAATGGGCATACAGACTGTGAGGATTCGTCATTGTGCTGTTAAAATACATTCATATAAGCATCTGTATACCCAAACCAAGAAAGGCCGCCTGGCTTACATTCATCTGCAGGTCACCCTTGTCTCTTCTCTGGGAGATAACTGATGGCAGCGTACTCTGTTTGACTTGAATTCATCTCCATAACTGCTGAAGTTCTTTTGGGAAAGTCCAGGACGCTGTAGACCAGAGGAGGTGCAGGCATAATGCTTGCAACTGTTTCCTGTGAAAGAAGATCGTAAAGTTAAAGAATTTCTGCAGCTGTTTTATTTTTGAGATTTTAAAGAAGGGAAGAGATGAGCGTGGTCTGACCTGTGCTGTGGGGTTAGAGCTTTGTTGTGCTGGTGCTGGTTGTTTATCTGTGGAGGAAGCAAAGTCCGTGAACTATTGAGGCAAGAAAATAATCAACTTAAAAAATATATATTATTACGTTTATAACTAACCTAATACAGTTATGTGACATTTGTTGACTAAATATTTAATTAAAGTCAAAGCTTTAGTTTGTTCACTGTGCAAAACATGGTTTTGTATTTACCACTGATAAACATGTTGCTGTGTTATAATGTCGGACATTTTAAATCATGTTAAAGGGTAGAAAACCTTAATAGAGCTGAGACAAAAAGAGCAGGAGGCAAAACAAATATGTTAATTGCAAAATAAATATGTAGCTTGCTTTAATTTTATTCTGTTTTTTGTACAAATCAAACAAACAAGATATATATATTCTTTAATTTTCACAAAACCTGGCCGGCTGTTTCCCCCTGTCTCAAGTACTTATGCTAGACTAAAATAATGGTCTCCTCACTACAAATCTAAACTAATACACAGACATGAGAGTTTTATCAATCTTCTTCCTAAAAAATGATACTACCAGTAAAAGTGTCATGACATCAATTGAAACTCTATAACAGTTTTGTTTTTGTATTTTAGTGATAAATATTGATGACTAACTCAAATCTATTCATTCATCTCCATGGTTTGAATAAGTATGACATTATTATTCTTATTTATTTTTGCTTATATCTCTCAAACACAGACAAACTCTGGTACCAGCTTTAGAAAGCCAAATAGGCTGTTATCTTGGATATCTAAGCTTGTAAATGAGAACAATACACACAAACATCTGTAAATGTGCAGAGGTGTGATAATTTAAGACTCATAGCCCAATCTGTATGGGCTCAGAACAGTCTCATAATACACACATGCACACAGAAGGATTCACACTTGTATTTCATGATCCGCAAAAGGATTCACACTTGTATTTCCTGATTCACACTTGTGTTTTTCAATGCACACAAATGTGTCCCGTTTCATATACATAAAATCCAAATACAGAAAAAAGTTTTACATATGTATTTTTGATCCTCACATATTTGTTTTCCGTGCGCTCATGTGATTGGCTTA